TTTTTCGACGATAATTGCTGTACCTCCGTGAGTCGTGTAGACTGGAAGATGTAAGTTTTGTAACCTTATATCTTTAGTGTATGTTTGTCAGTTAAATGAGGTTCTGTTATTAGTGCGATATTTATATAGCGATCTTTTAGATAACTTTCTAGTTCATTTTTGCGTAAGAGCAGACCATTGGAGTTTCAAAGGAGTATTTTAAGGGAAGGTTGGATTGGTTTAACCGATTGTTTGAGACGGCGGAGCCTAACAACGGAACCGAAGAGCAGAGACTAATTTAGCGAGAAGTTTTAGAATTGGAGAAAGAAACAATTTAAGCTGATACAAAAAAGTTTCGATAGATGATTTTATAGTCGATGAAATATCAAGTGATGGAGGAGGAGTATAAGTAAAAAGTGCGGAGGAATACTCTCTGTTACTTTTGCAACTGGTTCCGATGGAGAATTATTCTGCACCAGTTTTTGATTTGGCTGATTATTTTCATCTTTTGTTTCGCATAGAATTGTGTTGGCCTTTGTAGTATCTTCAAGATTTTCGGTTGAAGACAAGGGAGGATATTCATCTACTTTAGTTCATGAGGTCATATTGTTGGTAAATTGTTTGTTTCAAAGTTATTTAAATCTTTAAAGACAGTGTATCCTTTGAAGATTGCGGGGTAAGCACCATTGCAGCAGGCCCATGTGGAAGGTATTTCCCTCGGTTTTGAGCAGTATGCGATCATGACGCATTTAGCAGGAAGTATGCATTTAGCTAGGCATGTTTAACATTGCGGTGGTTCTTTTTTCCTGTGGCTCTTCTATTGTATATTTTTGTGAAAGGAATATTTAAGTTTGAATATCTACTGATTTTCTGGATTTTATTTTAAGTCGATAAAAAATATTGGTAAAGAAAATTTAGTTTTAGGGTGTTGTGCGTGGGTGATATTTTTAACATTGTATCGTCTATAAAGTTCTAATTTTATGTCTTCAGTTGGAGTTGTATAGTGAAGATTTCTAATAACAATACGAAAACGTTTTACTTCTTGGAGTTGGTATGTGTGGAATTGAGCATTTTGTGTGTGTAGTAGATTAACAATTTTATGATAGTCATCGGATAGATAGTTGTTTGATTTATTCTGCAACGGCAGTAAAATATTCGAGGACCTACTTTGAATTCCAAGGTTTGACATAATTTTTTGAAATTTCAAATGAATAGGAGGAGAGTTTGTTGTACAAGGTTGATGACTTGTATAGACATAGAAAGCGTTGTGAATTTCTGCCTAGTTCCCATCTTAGAAGGGTTTGAAGTTGCTCTAGTTTTGTCTTGATTGCTAGAATTCGTTACGGATTGAGATGTGGTTTCGATAGATAGTATTGTTAATTTCTGTCCGATTCCTTAAGAACTTTCTATATTATCTACTTTAGTAAGTTTTTACAAAAGAAGAAGCTCGTTTTTTAGTAGTTTCAATTTTCTGTATTTGCATTTTAGTCATTCTACAAGTCTTGGTGACTTGTGAGAGGAAGATTGACCTCTTTTTTGTAAAGCAAGTCAACTTCTTTGTTTAGTAGTCTAAATATTAATATTATATATATATATATATATATATATATATATATATATATATATATATATATATATATATAGATAAATATAGCATCCAAAAATTAGAATTTAGTAGTATCGTGGCTATCAACACATCCGAATCAATGTTTAACTTCGTTTCAAGTCATTTTACAGTAGGAAAATTTGTTTAAATATCGATCAATTTTTTATGTTCAAATATCTTATTTTATTATTATTTTTTTTATTTGTATTTGCCTCTACCCTAGAGGGTGATTGGCGGTAATTCTTGATTTTTATATTCTATTATAGTGCTTTGTTTCTAATAAATATTGAAAGAGAATGATGAAATCTTCCTCCTTGTCTCCCAAAATATTTTTTAATGTCGTCGAAAGCTTTAATTTTTGTATCTTTTCTTCATATTCATGAATGTAAAGCATCATTTTGGGACTTGAGAAGGAATGGGCTAGAAATAGAGATGGTATTTGGATAAGGAAAAAGAAGAGGCATGGCGGATATCAGATGGCAAGGGATTCCAGAAGGCAGTGGATCGACCAAAAATGGAATGTTCAAATGTTTTAGTTCTATGAATTCTAGGAAGGATATTAAGGTCGGAAACCCTGGATATTGTTTTCTGAGAGTAGACTACGGGATTGAACTGTAGGAGACTGTTGATGTCGGAAGGATTCCAGGAGTTGATCGTTTGTAACAGGTAAGGTCCAATGAAATATTGTCGGCAGAAGGAAGAGAAGAGCCACTTTAACTCATCGTAAAGGTGGGACATATGACATCTCCTCGACGTACCAAAGACAAACCGTACAAAGGAGTTAATAAGTCGTTTTAATTTGTCTTCGAGTCCTATCGGGATGCCAATGTACACCACACAGCCCTAGCCAAAGTGGGAGAAAATAAAAGAAGAGCTCTTATTAAGGAGCTTGCGGTTAGGTTGTGAGAGTAAGTGATGGGAGCGATGAAATAACTTAAGGGTACCTATTGACCTTCCGGAGATGAGGGCGATATGGGGTTTCATGGAGAGTTTTTCTTCAATGGTGAATTCGAGGTTTTTAACGGAGGAGCTGAATGTGGTGTGATAATCGTTGATGACTAAAGGAGGAACGGAGGAATTGGATTTGAAGAGAGAACTGGAACCTATAACAATGGTCTGAGCTTTCATCTGTCCGAACATCTTCCCCAGACACTGATCCTACTCACTCGGAGGGGCCGTAACTACGCTTTTTGTAAGTCCTTGGTTTTCTTAATTCACAGTGCCTAAGGGGGGGGGGCTCGCCTTTTAAAACTTAAACTTGTTAAAATCGTCTGATCTCGTTGGTGATAACGACTTGTTGAAGTGGCAGTGGATGTTCAAATCTCTTTCCTAATAATGATCTTTGCATCAAGTGACAGCCAAATCTTGTTAAATACCAACACCACGGATTATATTATAAGGAAAATTGGATATTTTAATTTTATTTATTGGAAAAACAGAACTTTAATTAACAATGTAATTTCATATTGATCCATATAGAATCAGCATAAATCAAATTACAGCTCCTGTAGCCAAAAAATAATCAAAACTACTCTAAGGCAGAACTAAATAATTTAGCTAGTGAAACTATAAGAGAGAAATCCTCATTCCCCAATCGTTACACGTAACACAGGCGGTTCTGCTTATGGTAAAGAATGATAGAGGTGTTTATGCAGAAGTTTTTCCAATTTTCAGAGACTGTGGGAAAGCTAGTAAGTAATCTTGATAGCTAAGTCAAAGCAGTTTTTTCTTCTTGGAGCTGATAAAAAAGACCAAACCGCAAACATTTGTAGCCCTAATTGATCTGCAGGCTGTAATGATTGCCATTCCAAATGATTCCTGTTGTTTCACAATTCAAATATATATTTGCCAGGAATCAATTGAGGAGCTGGTTTTAGAAGTCATAAATGTCGTTTTGCAGTGAATACCGTCGTATAACACCGTGTGTTAGCTGATAATTAAAAAGCTAACCATTTAGCGAAAGATGGTGTCGGAAAAAAACAACCAGATATGCCATTACCTTTCTTGGAGGAAAAAAGAATATTAAAACATTAATTATAGGAGAGTTGGAAAATAAATGTTAATTGAATTAAATAAAATGAACTTCATTACTTGACGGAAAGCAACGAGTGTCAGTAGATCTCTCAAGAAGTCAGGCCATTGCACAGTTTAAGATGAAGACTGGATATGACTATCTCCAAAGCCAACAACCGTATTGGAGTTGTCGAATCAGCCGTATGCGCATTGTGTCGACAAGAAGATGCTTTTGTAATATACAAAGGATCTATGACAACTCTGTTCCTACTTACTTGTCCTGGTCCTGGGCTAAAGGACTTTAGAACTAAAGCAAGAACTGATGGTGAAGTATATCTTTATATATTTAGATATTGTACTCTATATCATATATTGTCCTAAGGATAGAAGAGTATGCTGTGTGTATAGCAACCCAATATAATTGGGCAGCAATTCTTTATATTTTATATTTTATGAAAATAAAGTGTTTCTCTCTTCAGGCCTACTACTATAGTTTATTGTTAACAACATAAACAGTTGAACATACAATAGCACTACAACCCATCTGGTGTTATTTCACTATCTGATGTTCTCATTATCTTATTTCCTTACATCTTTCTTGCTTATAACAAAACAGTTGATTTGTATCGATGTACCTGAAATGTTGTTTCATCCACAGATCATTTAAAACGTTATTAATGTTTGAAGTTCAAACTACAATAAGTTTTTGAAGTTTAGTCTAGCAAAAATCCTTTCACGAATAAGTATCTTGTTTATCACGCATGGATTTAAAACAGGGCACTTATCGGTCTTATGCCTTATTTACTCAGTTAACTATCCAGCTTTTTTGAGTCATAGAAGAGAGAATATATTTTCTTAATAAGAGAAAATGTACATCTTGGTTTCAATCAATTCCTAGTATTCAACCATCATCGAAGTATTAATTTTAAAACCGCTACTATAAAACAAGATGAAGGAATTTATAAATAATTACAATTTTAACCAAACAAATTGATAATGAATCATTATTTATTTATGAATACAATGCGTTGGTTAATACAATATATTTATGAATACATACAAATCTGGAATATCCAAAAGTCTATGTCATCACTAGATTCCAGAATGAAAACGAGTAAGTCTTTAGTTTCATTGAAACGTATTAAATAACTTATAAGTTATTAATCTTGTGGTAACCTAATCTTTCTATACCAATAGTTATATAAAATAAATAAAAACAATTCGATAAATGCAAATTAGAAGAATGTCTATTGAAAACTAGAAAATTATTTTAATTTTCTTAATATTTTTATTTGATGATCTCCAAGTGTTTAATGGAGAAAAACTACAAAGAGTATGAGTTTTCGTATATTTAAAATTGCTTTCTTCATTTATTTAATCTTTCTATTTTGATTTAACTTACCTTATTTCTCTTACACTTGACGAATTCGAAAGCTGTTTCACATTTGTTGGCTTTAGCTGAAATTATTTTAGATATATTATTATATTAATCTTTAATATATTCATTTCTTGAAATATTTTATCTAATGACATTGTAAAAGTTAAACAACGGTACCTGTTAAATCGCATTCATCAATAGCCTTCAAGAATTTTTTCTTTAAATCTTCGTCTGTTACTGCTTCTTCATTCATAGCTATTGCCTTAGCCTTGTCAATGGATCCATCAGACTTGAACTAAAGGAAAACACAAAAGAACAATAGTTCGTTTAATTGTATAGTAAATAATTACGTCAGGTATGCGAGAAGTATTCTTACCACATCCCTTTTCTCAAATAAGCAAGACAAAGCACACTGTAATTCAAAATAATTAATTAATTATCAGTAGTAAATAGGTTAAAAATTTAAATAAGTGCACAAAAAAGAATTCTGGTATAGCATTATAAGGATATTGTAATCCCTAATATGAAGTTAATTGTGCAGTTTCTTCAATCGTATATTTACGTTGAACCAGAAAGAGAAGTATAAGATATAAAAAAAAAAAAAAATCATATTTACAATTTTTAACCAATTGATCAAAATTAATTAAAAATTATTGTAGTATTTTTCTTATGACTGTAGAAAAAATTGAGTCTTGGTAGCTACGAAGGAATGGACTAGAAACCATCAAATGGATTCGTTTCATATCAGAGATTAATTTGGTTCGAAGGAAAGGTTTGAAATTTAAACATCTGCTTTTGAGGCGGTAGCGAACAAAAATATATTATTATCTGGAAAATTAACAACGAAAAGAATTGATGAACGTCGGATAACAATAATAAAAAAGTGAAAGCTCAAATTTTGAGGGGAGGGGAGGAGGTTAAGTTTTTGAATTTTTTGTTCGATCAGAATGGTCCATTATTAAAAATATTAAACCAAAAATATTTAAAAATCGCGATTTATTCACTAATAGTGCTTAGATTTCGATGAAACTTTCTTCATTGTTTATGATATTTAAATACCTTTGAAACATCTTATCACAATACTTTTTGAGTTATTTGGAATTTGATTTTACCATCTCTCGTAACTTTTTTTCCAGCTTCTTTTCGTTGTATATTACATAGATAAATTTAAAGGGCATCAAGAAGAAGACTTTAGCCAAGTTTCATTGAAATCAGTATATTTGTTTAGGCGCTACAGTCTATAGCAACGGAGGTTTTTTGGTCGCTATGTTGAAAGGAAAAGGCGGATAGAAATTTCGATGAAGGACTCCTCGGATGACCTCTAATTTTAAATCCAAATTTCAAAAAATCGGTCTAGTAGTTTCGGAGAAAATGCGCGGACGGCGGACAGACAACATTTTTTTTATTCGTTTTTCGAATTCTGCATATCCTGAAACGTGAAACTTCAAATTTTGAGAGGGGGTTAAGTTTTTGAATTTTTCGGTCGATCACAATGGTTCATTATTGAAAATAATAAACCAAAAAAGCGTAAATAATATTAGAAACTTCGTAAAAAAAAAACTTTGATGTTATAGAAACTTTCAAATTATGGCTATCGGTTACCGTTGCTGCTATAATAATCGACGACAAAATCTATTCGAGCAAAACAATAAATTATTTTAGACTTCGTTAATTTTGTATTTAAATCGTCAGTTTATTGCAAATAATCATTAAGTGGTGGTCCGGGGTGGCGGTCATAAAATTACAAATATAGTAAAAAATTATTTTATTTCAAGCCAACGTTTCGACCAGACTTTGAAGGTCTTCTTCAGGGCTAGAACGAACAATATACATCTTTCGACATGAACAAGATACCTAAGTTTGTACCTTGTCAGTTTTTGTATCATATCGTATTTTGTCGTTCCAGCCTTGAAGAAGACCTGCAAACTCGGGTCAAAGCGTTGGCTTGAAATAAAATAGTTGTTCACTATTTTAGTATTTTTATGGCTACCACCCCGGACCATCTCTTTCATAAAAAATATCAAACGGTCAACCATTAAGTGACATTTCATAACCTGAAATAATTAAAAACCTTGATGAATTTTTCCTTTGTGAAATCATAAAAATGTGCGCTTATGTTATTATGTTGGTTTTAAATAAATTAATAAGGTCAAAATTTACAACAACATATTTGAAAGTTAACCTATATCAAAAATGTACTTAGTGACTTTTTGCAATGAACCGACGAAATACTCATTCCTCATCTTGGTTTACAAGAAATTCCCAAGGTACAGGAAAATCCAAATGGAACCCAAGAATCATAACCATATACCTTTGTAAATACTCTTCCTAATAGTGGCTACTCCATTGAAAATATTTATCTATTTAGATATACTACTTGAAAACGTTTGGTACATTTGAATTCCTTACAAAATTACAATTGCACGCAATTATGGATAAAAATTCGATAAAAGAGAACACAAAATACAATATTTTTTATTTTAGCAATAGTACCTTAGCTGCTTTTGGAAATGCAGGATCATTATAGTCTGAAACAAAAAAAAAAGGAAAAATAAAAATACCTATAAATACATTTTTTCTCATGATTTGTATCTAAAATTGTTAATATCAAGGTGTATTATATCCAGCCATGATAAATATACTTACTCAGACTATGAAAATCTTCATTCAATCCATTTTCTTTGTTGCAAGCAGCAACAACATCTTCAAACTTTTCTGCCAGAATCTGCAACCAAATAATAAACATTTGGTGTTAGGTAAATAAGTCTATAACCATCAATGTTGAAATAAAATTATGTTCTTGGAATGAATAAGGAGTAATAATTAAATTATTTATATTTATATCATTTTGTAATATTCCGTGGTACATACTCTTTTTTTATCAAATTATTAACATCCGCCTGAAACTCCGTAAATAGCTTCATATCATCGTGACCTCTATTCTCGGAATTGGGACGTTTTCAATTTGGAGATCGTCAAACTTTGTCTAATTAATTAGGTACTAGCGTAGCCCAAATGCGAGACCGAGACGAGTCTTGAAAATGGTCTTGGTTTTGCGCAAGAGTCTCGCAACAGTCTTGCAGTTACTTATTAGCTTATTGCAATAGAAATATTACTGCAATTTTTTAGATAGAAGAAACCTAACTAAGCCCGAATGAAAAATTAGAGGAGTTAAATGCAAAAGTATATTGGTTATACCAATTATTAACATATAGCAACTAAGATTGTCAAGTATTATTTTGCATTAATTTTTATTTAAAAAATCTATTTTTTTTACCAGTAGTGGTCTTGTTCTAGCAACAGTTAGGCGGCCTTGGTCTTGGTCTGGCAAAGTGCAAGACCAACACCGATTTTGATCAACGCTATTAGGTACTAAGAATTCGTAAATAACCATTTGTTTTTCACTCCAATCGTAACATACTTTGAGTACAAAATCGAGAAAAAAGGTGGCCTTTAAAAATATTGGGCCGTTTGGTGTGGCCTAGACCTCCGAAATGTGAGGTTATATAGGCCAAACGTCCCAATAACTTTATATGCCATGCGAAAATCCGATAGACTAAGAAAAATATAAGAGAACTGTATGGAGGCATGACAAGTTTTTAGTCAAATTCCATTATTGGAGTTGTATATCCAACGTCCGGCTTGATTAATATTATCAATATTAATCTTCAGTAAACCTTTAAATTAGTGCTAAATTTGAGATAAGTTATACTAATAACAATATTTTATGAATATATATGTATACGTTTAACTTACAAATGGTGCTGTGAACAATACAAATATGACCGTTACAACTACGAAAATCAAAAAGGAAGACTGCATTTTGGCAGGAACTGCTATGATGTGCTTCTACTTCAGAAGGGGATGGATACTGACTGAACAAGTTCTGGTTTTAGCTATATATGGCTATTTCATGAGGATGTCAATGATTACACACACATTCAATGTAGAAAAATATATTGTTATCAAAACGAAAATATAATTATCTAGTTTTCCTTTGTCAAACCTAGAACCGTGGTACATCCTACCATCGTTTTTTATACAATGATGAAATGAAATAATTTGAGTAGTGATACCAGATTTTTTTTTAATCAATTCCTAATCATACAGTCGGTGTATTGCAAAAAGTCATTGGTTGTAGCTGCATTTCTGATTTAACTTAACTTTCTTAACTTATTAATCAGTAAAAAAAAAAAAAAAAAACATCGTAAGTACATGAAAATGACACAAACTCTTTTATTTATCATCTACAATTACACTAAGGGGACAATTTTCTGATTTCACAAAGAAAAATTCATCAATATTCTTTATTATTTGAGTTTACCCTTCCATCCACTTCATCTCTCCATACTTTTTAATTCATTCTTTTCCTTTTTATCTATCCTTAAGATTTGACAGATTATACATACACTTACATATATTATCCTTCCACTTTATTTCATTAACATTTTTTACAATCTACAATTATTGTAGATAATTAGTTAATTGTAGATATTAATAAACATTTTTTATTTACTTTATTTTAGGTTCTGGCACTCAGTTATACTTCATTTACTATTTTTAGTATATTTCAATTATAATTACGCTATTTAGTATATATCAATTTCTCAGTTTAGTATACTTCAATTACTTTGCTTACTTAATTGAACTGCATTTACTGTTTTAGTATATTTTAATTATAATAACTTAATTTAGTATACTTCAATTACTTTGCTTACTTAATTATACTTCATTCATTCTATTTACTTTGTTATACTTCATTTAATCGTTTTTCTCTGTTGTTAGATTCATTTTAATGCTCTTAATATTTTTATTTGCATTCTATTAGCATTGTTTACAATTTTATGATCATAAAATTTAACACCAATTTTCAAGTTTTACTATGTTGAAATATTTTAATTTATTCATGTATTTATACGTTAATTTTTTAATGGTTCAATTGTTAATTTTTTTTCAATAATAATTTGCTGTATATAAGAGTATTAAATATGCTTTCAAGAAGAGAAAAATAAAACATTTTTGCTTAAATATATGCACAAATAATGAAATAAAGTAAAAGTGTTACATACGAGTATTCAGGGTGTCCCGTAAGTAGAGAGAAATTTTTATAGGAGTGATAACAGATCTCAAGAGCTAAAAAAAACTTCCTATATACAATGAGTCAATTTTCATTAGAAAAATAGGAAATCCAAGTTTTGTATTTTTTAAAGATATTTATGTTTTTCGTTGAATAAAAGAAATATTTAATTAAAGTAATTAAGAATTCCTTCAATGTAAACAAGACAAAATTTACTTTAATTGAAAGGAGAGTTTGTCATTATTAAAACCAGTTAAAGAGGACATTTAAGCGACTAAACTAAGCTAAGTTCTGCTAAAAAAAAATCATAAATTAATCACGATTTTTTAATCATCATATACTACAACTGTACTACAGTTACATCTCTTTTAGAAAAACTACCTTATCTAGTAAGGTTTATGTTTATATTAATTAAATTGAGATTTATGAGGCAAAAACTTGAGATTCGCCTCAAGTTGTGTAAAGAAATGATGTGATTACCTAACCATTCTTCTAAAAAAACCAGTGTTTTCAGCAAAAACGACTACAATTAACTGTGTCAAAACTTTTATTTCTTGTTTGTTTTATCCCATGATCTGGGATAGATTCTAATAAAAATAATTGCCTAGAGATATATTTTATTTATAAACTCAACTTTGAGGAAGCCAAAAAACGTAGATTTTTCATAATAACGACTTACAACGTGACTTGAAATAAAAGTTAATCTGCATTTTGCAGTGGTGGCTGATGTATCAGATGGATCCATAAGTTCGTTCGATTTTTGTTAGTAGTGCGAATTGTTTTAAAATTTCTACAGTTTTCTTTGCCTTATCTGACAATAATGATATTTATCGGAAAGTTCAAAGTCCGCTCTTCGAAACTGTTGTGCTTGGTTGTGTTGACAGTAGTTATGTTTGTGCAACAACGTAGTGAATATTTCAAATGATAAAGTGTATCTTCGGCATATTTTGCTTTTTGCTTTCCTAGCTATACTAGGCTAGGTAAGGAAAGTATTTGGATCGGGTCAAATTTCCGATATGCGGTTTTCGACGAATTGATACGTTTTGGAGCCCCCTGAGTTTAACACCGTCAAGGTTTTTTTTCTTTTAATGCAAAGAAATTTCTTACATAACTATATAAAAACCGTTCATTTCGGCAAACCTTAACGAAATTATAGCTATTCAATTTGCAATGTAAGATTATCCTGGTGTCAGAAAGGGATGAAGAGAGAAAAAAGATAACTAAGTGAAAGTAAAAAAATCTGTTGTCCATATCACACAAGCTTTACTATTTTCGCCATTTTTAAGAGAAATTATTGATTGACAAAATTAGGCTACGTCAAAAAGTTTTTGAACAGCAATATTAGAGAGTATTGAAAATTTTACGCTGATCTTCCTTAAGCCGGTTTACATTGCTTTAGTTTATTAAATAAATCGTACTCAAATCTTTTCTTTGATCAATTTTCAGGAAAATAAATCTAATTCAATTTTTTGTTTTGTTTCGTGATGGATATATGTAAAAATATAAATACTTTTCTAAAATAGGTAGAAAAGTCGTGTGAGTGGACACACCACATTTTTTATTTCAAAAAAGACAATATAGCTGCGGATGCCTTGTGAAAGATATGTAAGGTATTCGGAGACGCTGTCTTAACATAACGTACTGCTCAAAAATGGTTTGCTAAGTTTCGTTCTGGAGATACGAGTCTCGATGATGCACCCCGCAGCGATCGGTACACCGATGTTGATTCGAGTGATATCAAGGTTCTAAAAGAATAAGACCGGTCAAGGTACAAGAAATTGCTGAGACACTGGTCTAGATAGGTTTTTGGACCGTTCAAAGACATTAGAAACAGCTTAGCTACGTGTCTCGCCTCGATGTTTGTGTGCCACTCAAACTGACTGAGGTATACCTGATCGACCGAATATCAATCTGCAACTCTCTTCTGAACCAGCACGAAAGGGGCCCATTTCTTGAACGAATAGTGCCGGTGACGAAAAGTGGATCATGTACGACAATGCATTGTCAGGAGATCGTGGAAAACTATTGACGAGCCACCTAATGCCACCCCGAAGGCCGGTCTACATTCGAAAAAGTTTTTCCTCTCCTCATGGCAGGATTATCGAGGAGTACTGTTTTACGATTTGCTTCCAAAAGGAAAAACGATTAATTAGAAGATCTTCTGCACGCAGGTAACGAAATTGGACCAAACATTACCATATAAACGGCCAGAACTAATCAATCGCAAGGTTGTGGGTGTTATATTCCACCATGACAACGCCAGACCACACTCCGTAATAATCACACAACAAAAATGAGTGCAATTTGGCTGACATGTTTTATTACACCCACCATACTCTCCTAACCTAGCACCATCCGACCACCACTTATTTCGGTCCCTCCAAAATTCCCTCAACGAGAAATCGTTCGCTGATTAGAGAGAGGCTAAAACATATCTCGATATTTTTTCACTTCTAAGCCCCAGAAGTATTATAAGAGCGGAATAAAGAAAGTGTTTGAAAAATGGCAAGAGGTCATTAATAAAAACAGCGAATATATTATTGAATGCAATTTATTCTTTATATGAACAAAAAATTATTTCATTCAAACCTTCAAAACCCGAACGAACTTATGGATCTATTCAATAAATTCGGTTACAATATAAATTTCAGATTTAAAAAAAAAATGTTTTGGTGATAAATAAATGTTTTCGTAGAGCAAATAGCCATACATTGAAGAATCCATAAAAACAATTTTCAATTAGCTGCTGAATGTGAAATTCATTCCATAATTTATCAAAATAATAATGATTCATAACAATTTTATTTATCTCAGCTAAAATTGTAGATTGTATAAGAAATATTTGCAAAAGTATGGATGTTAAACGGACCAAAATTTTTTAGTCTACATGATATCACATTAAAATATCATTCTTAATATTTATTTGATTAATGTATCATCGACTAATATTTTTTTTATCAAAGGACTGAAATAAAGATTTCAATGCAACATGTTTATAAGACAATAATGATCATGTTAGATGGGAATTTTTTCTTATTTCCTCAATTAGACAAATATTAAACTCTATTAATGATATGGAAAAATCTATGTTATGAAAGTATGAGCCAATTTCTTCGTGTGGTCTCTGAAAAGGGGCCTTTTGAATCTAATAAGCGAGGTCAAATGTTACACACCAACAATGAAAAATTAACTCACGAATGTAATTGACATCCTCCAAACACAGCCGTATATAGTTGGGACCAAAGCTTGTTCGGTCAGTAGGTACTCATCTATTGCTATCTAACGATACAAGTTAGCATTAAACTAAAAACAACATTTGTTGCAGATATGCATTTATCACACTTGTTTTTCATAGTTGTAACACTCACAATCCAATCTGTAAGTTTTAAATTTTTTTTATTTATGATATTTATAACTGTATTAATAAATAGAATGCATTTAGTAATTTTTTTAACAGAAAAAAATAACATGAAATCACTTGTTGAGAAACTACCCACTGGAAGCATTCTAAAAAAAAAAAAAAATGTATTTACAATAACAAGTTTCGAGGCCATCTTCTTTTCAGGCCCGTCGGAGGGTTATCAGGGATAGAAGAGGAAGCAAGGTTAGAGACGATAGGATTTGGATCGTTCTGAACTTTATTATGGAAGGATTGGTATCTGGATTGGGCCAAATCGGAAACATTAAGGCGTTATGGATTATTTTATTGTTGACAAAGTGAGGAGCATTGAGGATTTTCTAAAGG